AATCTGGGCACTCTCCCAAGTGGCCATGGCTAAGGGCTTCTTGCACCCACAAAACCAATGTCTCACTACTTCCCATCTAGTGAAGGAAGTAATCCAGTGAAACGTTTCAGAGCAAATTTGCTAGGTCTGATCTTATGTCCATGCGCATGACTGTTCCTAGAAAGCAAACTTTTGACTGAGCTGGCTTTACAACAAATGATCAGTGAGCTAAAATTTTTGAAAAGCACTTATTGCTTAACAAGTTATTGGAGTATAAGTTCTTCCCACCTGCTACAAAATTTTGTTACAAATTTTCCTTCTGTTTCAACTTTAACATAGGTATTTTTGTACCATTTAAATATACATTTAAAAAAAAGCACATGCTCCACATTCCAGTGCTTCTGCACAGCCCACCCTTAAAAAGCTGGGAGTGAGTGGGGGAGTAGCAGTTCCTCTGCTAGGCCCTTCCTCTTGCTCTGAGTCAGCACAGGGCCAAGTGTCCCTCTGCAGCTCCTCCAAGTTCTAGGACCAGCCTCAGCCACGCTTTCCTGAAAGTTTTTGAAGCAGCTTATTGGGAAATGGTGCAAAATTGCCAAGCTACCATGGAAGCAGAATACCAAAGCACAGAGATAACTAAAGACTCCACTCCCTGCATCCCAGGAAAGCACTCTCCGGGGTTCTAGTCCTGAGGGTTCAAGAGTGGAGCTGACACTATTGTTGAAGCTGTACTGTTGGATGCCAGGATGTAAGTGTGTCATGGGACTCCCTTTAGAAGCAAACTGTAAGAACAAGAAGAATTGAGCTTGGAGAGATGTTTCTAATCAGAGCCAAGGCTAAGGAGAATGTCTAACTAACATTTTCAAGAATAAAACATGCTTTCTTTGCAAGCCTCTCCCATGAAAGGCAAACGTGAGGCTATGATGGGCCAGGAGTTTCCACTGGGACTCCTGCCCTGTGAAATTGCATAAACAGGCCTGGCTTAGAAACTCTTCAGTTTTTCTGGGTGTCGCCATCACTACAGCTTAAGGACATTTACCCCTGTGGCCTCTATCAAGGGTATGATGTGACAGCCACCCTTACAGAACATTCTAGCTTTTATTAACCTGTCATCCAAGAATCGGTGTACCAAAGTGCTTGTTTGAGTTTAAACCTGTCATCCAAGAATCGGTGTACCAAAGTGCTTGTTTGAGTTTAGTTTTCCTGATGACTGTGATGGTGATAATGGACACTTAGAAGTACTCCCAGCAACTGAGACAGTCAGGCAATAGTTAAGTTCCCTAAGGGAAGCACCTGGACAGGTGATCTAGGGAACACATACACACTCACACAGGCTTGGATGTCCCTCAGCCATCTACCCCCATCCCCAGACCTTGGCTGGGGAACAAGCAGAAACAGAAAACATGGAGGCACTTTTTGAGCCAGTAGAGTGTAACATAGGATCTGGGACACTAGTTGCAGGACAGGATCCTGGGACTATGAGCTGTTTCCCAAGGACAGTCACACACTTTGCTTTCATGTGGGTGCCTCAGAGGTTAACTACCTCTGATGAGGACTAGCCATGTTTGGGACCCTTGTATCCCTTCCCTCTTCTTGTGAAATAATGTGGTCACTCGAGATACTGGGCAGTCTTAGGAGTCCAGTGATATTTCTTTTTATTGACTTGGACAAGCCTGAACAGAAAATAACCCCATGACCTTCCCATTTTCAGGCCATTGAGCCACTGCATTCTGGTTGTGCCTTTCTTTGGGCACCTCTTCCTCTCTGACGTGAAAATCAGATTAACAATAACCCACCAGCAACACTACATTAGATAAAGATCCACAGCCAGGTGAGACGTGGACACCACCATGCACTCCTCCCCCTCCAGCAATTCTCTGTTCTCTCTCCAAATGTGTAGCTGGTTCTTTTTCATGTAAAAAGTTGACAGTGTCTCCCTTTTGTACACAGACCTTAATTATTACAGTCTTAATGCTTACCCCTCAATCCTTGGAGATAAATGTTTGTGAATAGAGCTATGTAAGGAGGCATCTGATAACTTTGAGACAGTCCTCACCATCTAATAATGTCCAAAGATATCATGGAGCAATGGCCTAAGACAGTCCCTGCCCATCTGAACTGTAATAAATGATCTTTCTGGCCTCGAGGGTCCCTTCTGAGGTGCTCCTTGGTTGCTAACAGGGCTCTGATGGCTCTGGTTCTATTAACTCTCCCCTAAACGGGCCCCAGTATACTTCTGTGGTCCTTCAGTTGTCTCCACTTTCTCTCTGGCTCCTGGACATCTTTGCCCAAGGAACCATCCTTTCCTGCCTAGGCTGAAGAAGCCCCTCCCCCCCTTTTTTTTTCTCCTGGACCTTCGTGCTGTGACAAAGCCCTTTTATGGTTTCCCCCCCCAATTTTTTTTTTTTTTTTTTTTTTTTTTTTAAGCTTTCTGTTCTCTGTTTCGCTCTGGGCCTGCCACCCACTGTTCTGAAACTACGGTTCTGTTCACAGCCTTTTCTCTGGATTCAAAAAGGTGTCTGCAAACAGATCCGTGGGGGCAGGTCAGCGAGTCGGCCCGATCCCTCTCAGACGGCGACGTGCTTGCACCCCGCCCCCAATTTCCCCCGCTTCGCCTGGGTCTGCACTTACCTCTCCCGCGGCGCCGCAGCCCGGGCCCCTGCTCGCTGGCCTCATGGGAGAGCCTGAGAGAAGTGGCAGTAGTGACTACTGTCCCTGAACTACGTGAGCGTCGGAGTGTCCAGGAGGTAGGGCCTGGGCTTAGTTCCCGGAGACGACCAAGGAGGAGGAGCCCAAGTTATCACCCCAGGGCGGGACTTGACGACAGGACAGCCCAGGCCGGAGCAGCGCCTCTCGAGCACCCCCGCGCGTTCCCGGCTGGAGCTCACCCCAAGCCTGTCGCCTTCGGAGACCCCACTACCCAAGGTGTGCCCTTGCTTGTGTGCAGCAAAGGGTGATTTGAACCAAAGTAGGGACAAGTCCACACAACAACTTGATGGAGTCAGGGCTTGGCCACAGTTTTTACACCTATCTGGTAACGGGAAACCCAGGCCGAGGCAACTTGTAATTAGACTCCAGATTTCGCCGGAAAAAAAAAAAAAACCCTGGAATTATCCTCCAGAAATGTCAAATCTCAGGTTGGGGACGTGCCACGTTAGGATTTGCCACATCTTTTGTTTAGGACAACACTCCCCTGACCACGTTTCCCGGGGCTAATCCGCGCGGGAATCTCGGGTCCCCTCTAGGCTCCATCCCATCTCGGGTCCCTGAGATGTTTCACCATGTGGAAGCGACAAGTTGTCAGAGCCCAGCTAGGGTGTTCTACCACCTGCGCGTCACTGTAAGTGGGACGACAGATGTCAGGGACTAGACGGGGATGCTCCCCCGCGCTCCCCTCACCGCAGATTTCCTGTCCCTGCACCTTGAACTCCAGGCTTGCGGAGGTACGTACCGGGTACAGCTCTTGAGAACCGAGGGCAGACCCTCCAGCCCACCCCACCATCTGCGCGGGATGACAGTGACAGTGACCACGACCGCAAAAGTGGGGCAGGGACTCGGCACGATCCATGCGACGGCGGCCCTCTCACCTGCTCCCTGGATGGCAGCACTCTGGATTGCAGCTCCCTCAGGTTGTGGCACACTTTAACTTTCCAGCCACCTCTCCCTACTAAGGGTGCCATCCCAGACCTTCCCCCCCTTAACACATGAATACTGGACGCAGCCAATGAGCACTCCCGGGACGCGAGAGGCGGACCAATAGCCACACTTAGGGGCCCTCCGCCACGTGATCTGCAGCCGTGCGGTGAGTGACTTGGCTGCAGTCCAGGGTCTGGGAAGGGGACGGCGGGTCACAGTTTCATCAGGAGCCGGGGACCCGAGCCAAGGGGAGGAGGCGATTTCCTACGGTGGAACGTCCGGCTGTAGAGACTGACTGAGGATCGCGGGCAACGTGTAAAGTTTCCCCTTGTTAGCAAAGTTCTAACCAGATCTTAGTGTCCCAGGTGCATTGTTGTCTTTCCATCGGCCCCGCCTTCGCCTTCATAGGACAATAGCACCAGGTTTCACAGATGGCTATAACCTTCCCAGAGTGCCCGGAGACAAGTGTTCTCCACTCCCTCTGCTCCCGTATCTGACTTTATCGGCGTCTTCTGCAGTAGTGTCCCAAGCACTCACTAAATCTTGCTTGGTGGCCATCGCTCCAGCCGAATGTTTTCTGAGCAAAAGCCCACCTACATGTTCACAGTACTGCAGACCTGGCTGAGGATTAATAAGGTAGGCATACTTAGGAGAATGCCTGGTTTGGATTTGTTATAGAAGCTGTCGGCATATTCATAAACTCTGTATAGTTTCTGATGCCTTTGGGGCTTTGTGACTTTATGAACACTTTGGGGTGGTGACTTTAGGAACCAATGACTCCTCCTCCTCGCCTGACCACTTGTGCGAGGTTCATAGTTTTATACCTTAAATGACTAGTAACATTTGGGAAGTTGCTAATTGATACAGGATTGCCACCTTTAAAAAAAGTGCTAAATCGACATATTAAAGCATCCTATCTTTCTTTTTTAAAAATTGAAAGAGCATTTTATTATTTAGCTCAGGCTGATCTCCAACTTAACTCTGTAGCCACAAACTCATGGTCGTCCTGGGATTATAGGCATGTGGCCCCACTACTGACTTGTTTGTTTGCTTGTTTTGGTTTTTGAGATCAGGTTTTCCAGTGTACCCATGGGTGTCTAGAACTCACCCTGTACATCAGACAAGCCTTGAACTCAGTGAATGAATAAATGAAATACAAAGGAAGTCGATGACTATTCCTAGGTGTGGTAGAGGATTTGTAGATTTGAGAGAGGGCACAGGCAGAAGCAAGGACATCTGGGAGAGTCCAGAGTGAACATGACCCTGAACCAGGTCATGTGAGGAGAATAGAGGAGTCACCTACCAAGTGACTAGGAGGGTAAAGAGTAGACCAAAAAGATTGGTAACCAAAATGTATGGATTATATAGGGAAGGGGAGCCTAGCCCCTTGGCTGGAGAAGTTTAGGGTAGGGGCAGGTTATGCCAGCCATACTCTTAACAGGTAGGGACTGAGGGATGCTGGGAGAACTTGATAGCCAGGTCTACTTTGATATGTTAAATAGGTACCTTAGGTGGGCATTTGTCCAGGGTTTGAGACTCAACCCTCAGAGATCTGCTTATCTCTGCCTCTTGAGTTCTGGAGTTAAGTCCTGTGCTACCACATCAAGCTTCCACTGACTTTAAAAGTACTCAAACTTCGAGAACAACGGGATACAAGGTCATTGTGTACATTAACTCACACTGGATGATTTTAGACTTAGGGAAATTGATTGTTTAATATGATTTTGGGGTTCTACTGTAAGGATATAGGAACAGCTTTCAATATAAGTAGATATGCAAGACTACAACACTCATGGACTACAAAAATCTGATACAAATCTAAGGCTGTAATAGGGGAGCATCCTCAGCCCAAGTCTCAGGTCCACACCCTTCTTTTTTGATGGCCAAATGTGATAAAGGACCACCTGTGAATCTGCTATTGCCAATTCTAAATTCCCTTTCATTAGCTGGAAGTTGAAGGTGAGTTAAGTCAAGTGCTGGCTACATTTCCAAATGTAGAGAGCAGGCTAGTGAAGTGAGCAGAGCCAATAAATATTGCAAAATACATGCAGGCAAAGGGTGATTGAACCCTAGCTGGGAAGGAGTTGGGATAAGCAAATTTAATTTTATAGCACAAGGGTTTGGAAGCATCTTTCTTACACAGATCTAGGAAACCATGGGTAATAATTTCCTCTGTGGTTCAGATGACTATTTAAAAATCAGGAGAGTGGCCTAAACTTAGTTGTGGGATACCACAGTCTTGGTAGGTAAGAGTGTGGCGTCTATGGGTTTGAAACGAGCAGTATTTTCTACAACTAGACTACAGCTAACTGGGATGCAGTATCTAGAGGACCTTGGCTCAGATAACTGCCCAGAACCTGAGAGCTTGCCTGGTCTTTAGATAGGATCATGCCCTTTCTTTCTTTGTATGGCAATGAAGACAGAAAACGAACATGGAAATTTTCAACCCCTTAGTGGCAAAGCACACCGAGTTCCTTCTTATAAAATCTGGCATTGAATTGGGCTTAATTTCACTTATTAAAAACCACCCCCTCCCAGAAAAATAAACCAAAAGACTTAGCAGTGGCCAGGCATAGAAATGACTCTTCTTCCACAGCTTCCAAGGCTGTCAGTGGTAATAATGTCTTCTTCTTCAGTGCCCTGAGCACCTGGCTGCTTCAGTCCTTATTCACTCATTCAACAAAATATTGAGTAGCTGCCATGCAAACATTCTCAATAATACTTGCAAAATGAATCCAAGCACATGTCAAAAAGATCATTCACCATGATCAAATTCACTTCATTCAAAGAGTCAGGGATGATTAAACGTTTGCAAATCAATAAATGCAATAAATCACATGACCATCTCAAAGGACAAAGAAAAAACTTTTAACCAAGTTCATACTTACCTGATGGATGCTAAAAGTCTTGCAGAAACTAGAATTAGAAGGAATATGATAAAGGCTATAGATGACAGATCTATAGCCAACCCAATGGAGAAAAACTCAAATCATTTTTTACAGAAATCAGAAATAGGACAGGTTTGTCCACTTTCTCAATTCCTATTCAGTCTAGTACATATGATCCCAGCCAAGCAGTAAGACAAGAAAAGGAAATAACGATGAACACAAGGAAGGAAACAGTCTAACTGTCCTCATTATATGTGACCATTAAGGCTCCACCTGAAAACTCCTACAAATATAAACACTGAAAAGAATCAGGATACAAAATTAAAACATAAGAAAACTAATAGCCTTCCTCTATACCAATAACCAGCACACTGAAAAATAAATCAGGCAAATAACCCCATTCACAGGTACACAAACAGAAAAGAAATTTAAAAATGTCTTGTAAGAAACCTAACTAAGGAAGTGAAATACTTTATAATAAAGACCTTAAACTGCCTAAGAAAAAAATGAAGGAAATACAAGAAGATAAAAATCCCTCTAATATACATGGTTGGGAAAAATAAATATGAAAATACTAACTAACCAAAAGCTATATATTCAGTGCAATTCCCATCAAAAATTTCAATGTCATTCTTTACAGAAACTGAAACAAATTCCTAAAACTCATTGGCAAGCACAGATCCCAGATAGTGAAAGCAACCAGAGGGGGAAAGAACAAATGCTTTTCTTTCTCTCATTTGTAGTTCTTAAGATTTTCTATAGGGCCATAAATCAAGTATTTATACTTGACGTGAAAGTAAAATTGAAATTGCCTATGGGAACAAATAGGACTATAAGAGATGGGAAGGGGAGGAAGGAGTGAAGGGTAAGAGGAGGATTGTGCAAATAGTACTATGCACAGCAAATATATGCCAGCTACAAATTTTTAATGGGAAATGGGAGAAATACAATTTTATTCTCAAGAAGCGCATAAGTTAATAAATAATGATACCCAGCAAACATATGTAAATCTCTGTGTTTGGGATATTGTTTTCCTTTTCCTGGGGAGATATGAGCAAATGGAGATGCACTCCAAATAGGGCACCAGTGATAGACAAAAGAAAGAATTCTCTTTTAGTTCAGCTTGGTGAGCCAATGAGTTTCAGGCTTACTCTTGGGAACGTGAATAAGAAGTGCTGCATCCCATCCAGTAAGGGTCACGACCTCCTGAAAGGTGTGTGGATGGAATCCCACCTTTGGTTAGCCTTCCACTTCTTGTATGATATAAAAT